TGGGAAAGCTGTCAGACATAGCTAACATGGTTAACTCTCATTATATCATGTTAACAGGAATCCATTCATTACAATGCATGATAATCTAAGCTGCAAGAACACTGCCGAGCATGATTTTGCAGCTGTAACTGATAGGCCAACTCAGATCACAGGCTACCAGATAGAAATAATTCATATTGCTGGTTGGGAATTTTCTGGCAAAATATTTTGTTGGTTGCTTGGTAGGTTTGTTTTGCTAAACATTGATTTTGTGAAAACAAAAACTAATTGCATGAAAAGGTTGGTTTTAACACATATGATTTCCTAATTTTTTTGGGGAAAATTGGAGTTGTTTAAGGGACTTTTCATTTCAAAATATTAGTTAATTTATAGTTTTATTGTAAAAAGAAGAGTTTTTAAAGGTCAAAAATAAATAAAACATTTTGATTGATTACATTCCAAAATGTTTTAGGATTTTAGGTTCATAAATTTGTTTGAAATTTTGACTTTTTGACATGAGTCAGGATGGGGAATCATTTCAAACTCTTAAATTCTTTGATCTGAGGAAGTGGGTCCGGCCCACGAAAAGCTCATCATCTAATAAACCATCTTGTTAGTCTTTAAAGTGCGACATAGTCCTGAATTTTGTTTCAGCTACACCAGACTAACACGGCTACATTTCTATCACTATCTTAAATTCTTGTGGGACAGGAAAATAGTTTCCTGCTCAGCAGTGATTAATTGGCTTCACTTTTTTTAAAGTAATAACCCTTGCAATTGAAAGCATATACATAATAAACTACTGCTGTTGCTGGCATTGCTGCCTAACAATCTCCTTTTTTATTAACAGGAATGTGTTTCTTGCTGTGAAGGGATGATCTGCAATGTAGAAATACCGACCAATCACACAAATGCAGTGTTTGCTGTAAAACATGGTCAGCGGACATCAGGTGGCAGCAGTAAGACAATTAGCATTCCATTGCTTGCATCACTCCTCATAATCACATTGTTATGATGCAGTTTTCCACATGCCAGTGTGATTCAGGGGGATCAACTTTCTGAGCTCTAACATGAAGCAGAAAGAAGAATGTTTCAATTTGAAAAATGTTTCTGGCTCTCTTCAAATTATAGAAGATGGTTAGGAAAACATGAACGTCAACAAACTTCATGATGTGCATCATTTATTGAAAATTCTTGCAAACAGCCTGCAGTATTTAAAAGAAAAAAACTGGTGACCAGATTCTATAGTAGACTCAACCAGTTATCTGAATTCTTCATTGGATGTGGAAGCATGTGTATATTCTGCCCATTACTTGAACAAGGAAATTGGTTGTCCATAGAGATAAAGGGATACTTCTAGATACAAAAGCTGTGCCAAACTTGTCTCAAGAGAAGCCACTTGTTTCATAACTGAGTATTAACTTGTAGTGTTGACTTGCCTGCCTTATTGATGAGAGAGTATTTTGTTTAAGCTCATCTTTAAGCATCATGTTCACAGAGAAACATACATTTTCCAACAAAGTATCTAAGAAATAGAGAAAAATGCTTTTTTGAATTTAGTTTTCATCAGAACTGCCATTTCCTATGGAAAAACTGAAAAATATTTTAATTTTTTCTCTCTCTTTCCTGCTACAACCTTGTATCACGTAGTCCAATTATAAAATGGTGTGAATTCATGAAAAAGTTAAAATCCTAACAAAAGATAAACAGGCTCCTATAAATTTCTGTTTAGGAATATAACTAAAAGAATTCTGATTTTTCAAGAACACCGAATACCTGTATTTTTGTTGTCTTTCATAGGATTTGTTAGGAGACTAGTGTTAGGCACTCAGCTTTGAAAAGTATGGCTTAAGTTTCTAAAATTAATGTTGCTAGTTTTTCCCTTTGTTTTCATAGCTACAGTAGATTTTTTATAAAAGTCTGCTTTATTTCATATTTTGATTTTATATTACATAGCTGACCATTTGGAAACATTAGAAATGGTAGAATTTAGGTTACCATTGCATATTACAAAAAAACTTTGTTTTCCATTGTAGGCCTTGCAATAAACTGTGTGGCTACATCTACACTGGCATGATTTTCCGGAAATGCTTTTAACGGAAAAGTTTTCCGTTAAAAGCATTTTCGTAAAAGCGTGTCTAGATTGGCAGGATGCTTTTCCACAAAAGCACTTTTTCAGGAAAAGCGTCCGTGGCCAATCTAGATGCGCTTTTCTGCAAAAAAGCCCTGATCGTGATTTTCGCAATCGGGGCTTTTTTGCGGAAAACACTACTGTACTGTCTACACTGGCCCTCTTCCGGAACAGTTTTCCGGAAAAAGATTTTTGCCCGAACGGGAGCAGCATAGTTTTTCCGGACAAGCACTGATGATTGTACATTAGATCGTCAGTGCTTTTCCGGAAATTCAAGCGGCCAGTGTAGACAGCTGGCAAGTTTTTCCAGAAAAGCAGCTGATTTTCCGGAATAACTTGCCAGTGTAGATACAGCCCTTATGTTTTGTATTTATCTGTATTTTCATCTCACTGGTTCAAGGGTTGGATACTTTTAGATTCACTATTTCTCTCTGTCACATAAAGTCAATCTTGAAGACTGATGGGGATTGATTTCACTTACTTTCAGTCAGCACTTGGTCTGATTTATAACACAGGCCAATGTTGACTGTTGTTAATATTTTGGCTCAGATTCTCTGTGATTGTGAACACTCTAATCCTATGGAAAAACATATGTGGCTGTATCTAGACTTCATCCCTTTTCCATAAAAGGGATGCAAATTAGACACATCGCAATTGCAAATGAAGCGGGGATTTAAATCCCCCCCGCTTCATTTGCATAAACATGGCTGCCGCTTTTTTTCAGCTCGGAGCTTTGCCAGAAAAAAGCGCCAGTCTAGACGCGGATCTTTCGGAAAATAAACCCTGTTCCGAAAGATCCCTTATTCCTCTTAAAATAAGAGGGTTATTGCGATGTGTCTAATTTGCATCCCTTTTACGGAAAAGGGATGCAGTCTAGACACAGCCATGTCAGTCCTGTCCTGAGCACAACCTCAAGGTTCCCAGCAGTCTTTGGGACCTGAGCTGATGGTTACAGATGGAGGGAAATTTCAGCCATGCCTCCTTTTTCACCCACACCTGCTCCCAATGCTTTCACTTACTGGATTCACCATCCTCGTTGCACTGCAGCATGGCCATGAGTCTGATCAACAGGGTTTGAACAGAGCACTGTATTATCTTTTTTCCATAATTTTTCTTTTGGTACTTTATTTGTGAATTCACTGGTGTAATTACTAACAAGTTAGACTTTTTTTGATTTCTCATTATCATAGTTGTTCTACAAAGCTTTCTCTGTAAACAGAATTGGTTAAAATGGAAGCGGAAAAAGTTAAGAAAATGTTGTCCAAATATCTTTGTGGGATTGTAATTGAAATTTTCAGTGCACCATAAAGATTTCAGCAAATATTGAATCTCTGAAAATTTTGATCAACTCTGTAGTTACAGCCTGTGTGTGTCAGATCTTTAGTATTTCTCTGTAACTTGTGTAAGTGGGGGAATGGTCCCGCTATTGTGGAGAACTTTCCTGGCTTTTATACCACCCCGGTGAAATGGACCAGCGAAAGGATCTGAGTCCCCGCTCCCACTTCCTTTACCCCACGGCCTCCCTGATCCTGAGGGCTCCCCCTCCACTCTCCTGAGTAGCAGAGCCCTCGAAACCCCAACAAGGCTGGGCCCAGGTTTCCTGGGGCTTAATCCCCGACCTTGTAGTCACTAGGGGCAGGAGTTAGGGTGTCCCCACTCCGAGGTGCTCTCTTTACACTGCAGGCCTTCTTGGCCCAGTGATCACTTCATAAGGTTCAAAGCAGATATAATTTATTAAACATCAACTGATTAAAGAGAAAAGAATAAGAAAAAATGAGAATGGTTAAATGAGAACACACAGCCCTGCTCTGTAGCACAGGGACATCAAAACAGCAGCCTGCAGCGTGTAAGGACAGTCCACAGTCTCTTCCTGAGAGGCCCCTTAGAGGCCTTGGATGTGCTGCGGGGGGGGGGGGGGGGAGGGCGGGGCTGCTCTGGCAGTGACCACACAGCCGGGCCCCCCTGGGGGCTGGTGGGTGGGGGGGGGGGGGGGGGGGGCTGCAGGCTGGACACGCTTGCTCTGGCAGTGACCACACAGCCTCAAGCTCTAAGTGGCCAGACCCCTCTCCCAGACCAGAGCCTCTCCCCACACTTTGCAGTTCCCTGCTGCTTGGCCAGTCTCTAGCTCCTTGCATTGCTTCTCTGTTCCTTTTGGCTCTCTGAGCACTGCCAGTCTGCTGCTCAACACAGGGTCTGCGCTCCTTGAGCTGTGTGTGTCAGGCTCAGCTGCTGCAAAAACTGCCCCTCAGCACACAGCTTGCACTCCTTGGGCTGTGTCTCAGCTCTCTGTTTGTTCAGAGAGAGCCAGAACAATCCCAGCTCACAGGGAGGACGGGGCCTGGCCTCTCCCCTTCCTCACTGGCCTGTCCAACCTGTCAATCAGGCTGAGTTGGAGTGTTGGCTGCTTTCCATTGTCTCTGGGGTCTGTCAGTCTCATGAACTCTTCCCCTTCTGAAACTTGGAGCTGGCAAACCAAAAAACTCCCACAGAGTTTTAGTAAGGGGTAACAGTCCCCTTACACTTGTTTAAGTACACTTGACTATTTTAATTTTAACTGTCAATTGGAAAAACTCCTTCACTGATGTTTTCAAAATTGATGATAATCTAAGCCAACAAATATCTATCTTTACGATCTGATGAAGAGGCACTTATAAAATAATTAGAGTTGTAAAAAAGCGGAAGAGGGTGAAGGTCATTCACTCCTTTCACATGTCCGTGCAGGATTCTTTCCTGCCATCTAAATATACATATTTCAAGTAATTGAACTTTGACATATTCTTATGGAAGACTGACTATTCTGAAGTCTAGTAGATCAAGTTATAAGGATTTTTTTCTAGTATTCTGCAAAATGTTTTTTTTTCTTTAAAGGTAATGATTCTAATGCTGCTTTAATTATTTCAGTCTACCAGGTAATGACAGCAGTAGTTGAAACACCAGAACACTTTTTCCATTATTAGGAAAAATAATATAAAATAATAATTTAAGCTTCTGAAATGGTGTCTTTTGGGCTGATACTTTTGGGACTTGCTTCTTTGCTCAAGTGAATTCTTTAATAAAATTAAAGCAAAATCTTTTCAATGGTTTTCTGAATTAAGAAAACATGTAAGAATACACTTTCCTCACTTCTTCCTCTTAACCTGCACTATCTCAACTGCAGCCAATCCTCCTGGCTTTAGGTGCACCCTCAACTTCTATTTTTGGAATAGCATGTGCAGTTGAAAATAACAATGAGGCTTAACAGGGCTTGCAGCCTTAGATGAGTTCACTGTAAATAGTTTGAGAACATCTAAAACTTTAGATGTGTGTATTCTGCAAATAAAATTCCAAACTACACAACTTGGGAGCAAAAAAGCATAACAGCCATACTGGATCAGATCAAAAGTCCATCTAGCCTAGTATCCTGTCTTCTGACGGGCCAACACCAGATGCCCCAGAGGGAGTGAACAGAACAGGAAATAATCAAGTGATCCATCACCTGTCATCCATTCCCAGACCCTGACAAATAGAGACTAGGGACACCATTCCTATCCATCCTGGCTAATAAGTATTGATGGACCTATCCTCTATGAATTTATCGAGCAGAGCTCTGTACTGACCAGAGGGTTGGCCACGAATATGCTGCTTTAATATTTTCTTGAACCGATAAGTATACATGCCCAGATGAGGAATGTAGCAGACAATAATAAGAGGAAGTAGTTCCTCAGTGGCTTACAGGCAGGAGTGGCCTGAGGTCGGCTGCGGCAGCAGGCACCCCAGGCGGAAGGTGCGATCGGCACCCCTGCCTGTATGGCTGTCAATGGCCGTGACGTAATCATCAGGCACCCGGGTGCCCCGTGATGTCATCATTGGGCGCCCCGGGCCGGCGGTGCCCTAGGCAACCGCCAAGTCTGCCTATGCTCACGGGCCGCCCCTGCATACAAGTGCTTGTTAAAACTGCAAATGTGCAGGCTGCTATTGACGTTGATAGGCTCTAGTTGGCCTCAGTTAATTGGTGCTGTTTAGTTATAGACCTGAGGACTTTTTCCTTTTAAGAAGCTCTAGGAAATTAAAGGCAAAAAAACTCCCAATTCACCGCAAAGGTTGACCAATTAAGCGCTCAGATCTGGACATGTGAAAATTAAGATTGACTGTGCAATGTTGCCTCTGCCATTTTGCACACACATAGAATCTCTATATTTGTGATTGTATTTTATCTTAGATATACTTGAGAATCTCAGTTCATAGAAAAACATTATGTTCTTATGTATTAGAGAAATAGGATGTGATTTCATAATTTAAGACTGAATCATGGTGGGATACAGAGGTTTCATATTAAACCTTAGCTTTCACATTTTTTTCCTTTATAAGGTTTGCATGTGCAATCATGTTACATTAATGTAGCATTTTTGCAGTCAAGAAATAGGTTAAAATAGGGTTTCTCAGACTTCATTGCTCCGTGCAGAGGAGCCAACAGTCGTGCTGGACCCCTGGGCAAGGTATATGGAGTTGTGGTTATGTGCTTCTAGAAGGGGCGGAGCCTCAGGTGGAAGGGGCAGGGCCAGAGGCAACCAGCCCTTAGTGCCTCCTATACCACAGCATGCCCCTCTCCAAGCCTTCAAATGCCTAGAGTTTCCAGCACAGCACTCTGGCAGCAATTTAAAGGAACAGGGAGTCCTGGGCCCTGGGGCAGTTGCCTCCTCTGCTCTCCCCTGTCAGTAGACCTGGTTCCTTGAGCCCCTTTTGGATAGGGGGCCAAAGCCTAGGGATGTCAGTGTCAGCCTCAGGATCGGACCTATAACCTGAGCCCCACCATCAATGGCTGAACTATTGGACTTTAGCCCCAGGCAATGGAGTTTGGACTTTGACTCTGGGCACTTTCAAGTTTAACATCAGCCCTGACAACCCCGTTAAAATGAGGTCATAAACCATTTTGGGGTTTTTAGGGAGTCCCGTGGGGAAACACGCCCCCGCTCCTGGCTTGTTCATCTACTT